ACTCTCAGCGAAGCTGTTCTCACCACTGATACTTATTTTCATCTAGAGATTCAAGAAGGACTTGTCATATAGTGTGACTCAAGAGAAAACTGTAAAATGCACTTTCTGACTCTGTTCCTCTGACTCCACCCACCTTCCTTCCAGAGGACTTGGAGAGAGAGCAAGAAGCACTGAGTTTGGTTTGCAGAACTTGAGATCTGCTTCAGATGCTGATCATACCACAGTGGTGGGTCCTCAGTCTGGTGTCTTATTTCTAAAGTAACCATCACTGAGCTTTACCTGTTCCCTACAAATGAGGCATGCTTGTTCTATGAGACTAGGTGATTACCCTATGATGCTGTAAGAGAATCATCACAAAGAACTTTAGAGAAAACTCCCAAGAGACAACAGAATACTTGTAAAAGTCATATAGAAACTACAAACACAAGGGAAAAATGCCCAAACATGTATTTGTAAGCCCAAGCAAAAAGAAAGGAAATTGATAAGTTCTCTAACCAAACTCAGTGCTTCTTGCTTTCTCCAAGTCCTCTGGAAGGAAGGTAGGTGGAATCAGAGGAACAGAGTCAGAAATAGGAGCATTGCCCAGTGTCTTAGTTAACTTTCCTATTGCTGAGACAAAAAATAATTACCAAGACAGCTTTTTAAAAGAATGTGTTTAATTTGGCAGGATTCAGAAGGTTAAAGTTCATGATGGTGTAGCAAAAAAAGAAAAAAAAAAGTTGAGAGCTCTCATCTTGGTCCACAGCCATATGGTAGAGAAAACATGGCTCATTGGGAATGCCATGAGTCTTTTGAAAATCAAAGCCTACCTCCCAAAGACACATCTCCTCCATCAAAGCCACAAGGTCTAGTCCTTTCCAATATGGGAGCCACTCTCATCCAAACCACCACACATAAGTTAGAATGAGGATGCCTCAGCCTTTAGACATGTTTGGAACAGTTTCCTCTGCATAGCAGCCCTTGATGAAAGCACAGTTCATACAACTCTCAGGCCAGACTTTTCTTTCTTTTAGTTTCCAACTGTTACAGCCATGTGAAGAATTTTGAAAAAAAAAATCCACTTTGTGGTATTTAGCTAAGCTCTTCAAATACACATGAATATTTGCATCCCTTGAGGCACCATTTGGCCAAGCTCTATATATTTAATTCTTTTAATTTTACCATCATAAATTGATATTTATGGCTCTTTGATCTTTGTATGCCCATTCAGTAATAAACCAAACTGAGCTTCTTACTAATGGACCCAGACCTCCTTCTCACCAGATGCTGGGAGGAGGGTAGATATTCAGTACAAGCTTATCCCTCTGTGACTGTACAGGTTTTCTTTGCAGAAGAACAGAGGAAATTGTGGTTCCGAAATGTTATTGGAATGGAGTGATGAGAGACTTGCACGGGAAAGCAAGGAACAGCAAAACTTTATATAAAAGACTTGGCTCCTCATATGGGGCCTTCTGGAATTTCCTTGCCCTGGAACCCCTCCCTGTTCCAAATAGGACTGAGTAAATAGATATGAAAACGCACATAGCCGGGATTGTTTGTTCTGGCTGCTTTCATTTGGTTGCTTGGATGTTAGAAGTATGAAGAGTTTGGTTCAGAACCTAGTTTGGGTCTCCTTCACAGGTGTGTGTGGAGGCCTAGGGGATCTCTGTGGGTGAAGGGGGTTCAGAATTCATCATTATTCTCATTTGGATCTAGTATTTCCAATGCATGTCTGCATGAACTGTCTTCTCATTATTTGCCTGCTGTGGGTCTGTTTGTGGAAGCATGCTGTTCATTATAGTGTAGTGGGGAATGGGCACAGTAAAGGTCTGTAATTCGAGACCTTGAATTTGATGTTTGGAACATTTGTGAGTCAGAACAGAGGATTTAACAAGATTAGAGAAGCTGATATGAAGGATGCTTACTGCTTATTGGAAGCAACATCACTTTCCTATATGTATTAAGTTTGGAATGGACTGAGATCAAGGTATAACTATTAGGATGGAAGACAGTGAAAGGCACAGACAACTCAATACTCAGGGACCAGACTCTCTTATGTACACGAGTTCTATGAATTCTAATTCAAGAGTCTTTTTTCCTTTTAGAGTGTTGTCTGTGGTTTCTCTGAGGTTGATGCAAGGTTAAAACACATATAGGAAGACAGAATGATGTCCTGGGCCACCTGGGGCTTATGTATCAGTTGAAGTAATCAGTATGATGAAAGGCTAGTAGAACCTTGTTCTTTAACTGCATTCATTCATTTCTTAAACATCAATATAATTGGGTCTTGTTGTATACTCTCATTGCTATGTGGCCAATGTATTTTTCTCTTCCATTTTAGTCATGGACTCTTCTATGCTTTGCAGACATTCATTTGCTCATTTTGATGGTTAGACTTCATTGTCAACTTGACTTGATTCAGAATCACCATGGACATACCTCTGGGTTTTCAGAAGACCCAGCCTGAGTATGGATGGCACCAGCCCATTAGCTGGGTTTCCAGGCTGAATGAAAAGGAGAACATGAGCATGGGCAAGCATTGCTCTCTGCCTCCCTACAAGTTCACCGAACGGAACCAGCTGCCTTAATAGTCTCGCTGCCTGCCATGCCTTTCCTGTCATGATAGACTTTATCTGTAATTTTCAAGTCAAATAAATGCTCCCTTCCTTAACTTCTCTTTTCAGTTATTGTCGAATCAATGAGAAATATCACTAGCAAGATTCATTCATGCACACATTCTTTAATTTCTCAATTACTTAACAAAAACTTATGAGGCACCTACTATATGCATGGACTGTACCTTAGTGAGACAGTGACTCATAGACAAGTCTCTATACTTTTAAGACTCTAGAGCGTGCAAATCAAGTACTCAAATAGTTCTCTTCAACCTCTCATGGATTTAGTGAGGAATGAGTAAGGTATAATGCACTGCAACTCTTGTTATCTTCCTCCTGACTCTCCAGCTTGAGCTTCTTCTAAGGTTTGGAAGTGGGTTTAGTGATGTATCTCCTCCTTCTTCCTTCATAGGACTCATGACTGGCATACAAAGCTTTTTAATGATCTGTATGGAAAGGAAGGGTTGGATTAATCCAAAGTCATTACAGGACAGATACTTAAATGAAGCTCAAGGGTTGGAGGGCTTTTGTACTGGTGTTTGCTTCCCAGGCCATTCGGTTTGACTTTTACCTTGAGGATCCTTCTGTTGTTATGAGGATGTCTGTAAACAAACAAAACAGGGACATGTGAGAAGGTGCCAGTGAGAGAGACACAGGGGATGGTGCCAATGTTGGCATCACAAAGGCTGGACTTTTAGTTAGTGTTGAAGTGAAATTGAGACAGCCCTCAGTATTGTTAGGGCCACAGCTGCTTTGGATAGAAAACAAAACAAAACAAAACAAAATAAAACAAAACAAAACCTGCTTCTGTACGTAGTGCCTAAGGGTTCCACTTCCACACTTTCTGCTGGAGAAGGGAGGGAAAGCCCACTAGACTGTCTTCACAGACATCATTCTTAGCCATGGACTTGTGAGGATGTCAACAGGCAAGATCAGGGGTGAACAAATATGTAAAAATAACTTTCATTCTCCTGATAAGTTGTTGTCTCTGAAGGTCTATTGTTTCTGTTAACATATGCCTAGTCCTGGAAACTTCTAGACTCCATACAATCTTATCTAGGCCTAGAATGTTTTCAGCCTCTGAGACTTACTGAAGTCTAAGTTCACCCCTTCCTAGTTCTTTCTGATCTCTGGCTGGTTGGTTCAATTCAGTTGTTCTGGCTCAAACTCCTTTCTAAGCTGACTGATTCAATCTGGCTTCTCTGGGCTTCTCCTGAATTGCTCTGCCTGGCCTCATATTAATTTCGGCAATATGTTCTAATCTTCTGTCTCCTCATTTCTCTGTCTTCGTCTGTGTCTAGCTTGTTCTCTCTTCAACCTGTCTCTGTAACACTCTTCCAGTAAAACTGACAACCTCTTCTGCATGCCCCTTGAGTAGCTTTCCATTCTTCTTTCTTCTCATGAGAGTTGGGCATTCCCTATTCTGTTAAACCTTTGCCTGATTCACCACTTTGTCTGCCACTCAATTAGACATCACTTTGAGACACAGGTGCTTCCTTCTACCAACTAACTTTACTGTCACTGTTTGTGATTAAAGGTGTGTACTAAGGGTGTGTCTGTACTCCAGCCAAAGAAATTAAAGGTGTGCTAAGGGCTGAGTTACACCACACCAAGAAACAGGTCTTTTCATTAAATAACACAATCTCAAGTTCACAGTGGGATCAAATATCCTGCAAGACAAATATAGCCCACAAAGTAGGACGAAGTGAATATCTTACTATAGGAATGCTTTACTATATCTAGGGACTGATGCTGATTACAGGCAGGCTGTATGTGGTGAAGAGTCTTTAACCACGTACCTTTTTGTCTACTTTCAGTTGATTTCTCTCCATTATAAGTCTGTGCCTTTTTCTTTGTACTCAGTACTCAACAAATATTTCTGAAATTGAGCAGATAGGAGTTAATAGTATTAGTTAAATAGACTTAGGAAAAGCCTGAGAAAATCATAATGTCAGTTTTTTCTTTTTTTTTCTTTTTTTCTTTTCTTTTTTTTGCATCAGTTTAGTCCTATTGGGCAAAATTTTATGAGACTTCCTTCAGTTTTAGGGCTTGGGGAAGCAGATGAAATCTTAATGGGTATGTTTTTTTTTTTTTTTCATTGACGTTAACTTGGGCCGTTAGCTGCCCAAGCTGGGAGAGAAAGGACCTTAGACAAAGTGAAGCCAGGATTGGAGCACCAGTTTGACATAGCTAGCATATCAACATGTTGGACCATTTATTTCCATGGGAGCAGAAACGAGAGCTTTCTTCTCCCTGTAGCTCTTCCTGGTCCATCTCTGATTGAGAGTAGGTAGCAGGAAACATAAAGGTCAGAGGAAAGCTTCTTTAAGCTTTCTTCTTGTTATTTGGCACGGATTTTGTGAGAGGATTGGGGTACTAATACTCATTTCCCCTTTATTTCCCAAGGTCACGGAAGACAAGGAGTCTAAAGAAGTTTCTACCCATTACCTCATTTTCAAGCCAATTTTGGAGAGAATTAAAACTAAATGATATTGTTAACCCCTTTAAAGTATACAGACCCAAAAGATAACATGGGAATAAAAATTCATGTGGTCAAGGTGCATAAAAATAAATAAAACAAAAACAAAACAAAGGTTCAGCTTCCTGTACTGTTACTTCTTGCTCTAAGGGAATAGTCCCATCGGTTCTTCAGCTGAAAGGCAAGAGAGCACCATGCTGGGGTCTGAGCCCATGAGGTGTCATCATATAGAGAGCAGAGAGGACATGAGTCAACTGTCTCAACCTTGGATTACATCTCTGTAGCCCAATTTGACATGAGTCTTTATGGATTATATTTCATCACTGTCGTCCAAATGCTTCAGCTAAAAATGTAGCCATATTCACTAAATCCATGTTCTAGCTAGAATGAGAAGAAGAAAGCTGGGGAATTTGTTGGGGGACTTCTCATCCTTTTCTTACTGAATAGCACAAATTCTGATATCCTGCCAAGGATTAGGAAGGGACTTCCTTGGGCGGGAAAAGTGATTTATTGGGAAAACACAATAAAGTGGAAAAGAGTGTAGACCGTGAGTCAGAAGGCTCTGTTCAAATCCCAGCTCTGTCCCTTTCTTAGGCTGGGATCATGGGCAAGTTATTTGACGTATTGAACTCTATCTAAACTCCTTCATCTTTAAAGCAGGCAGTAATAACTGCCTTCTGGGTTGTGGTGGGAATTGATGTAGACAGGAATTTAGAATATGCCAGTAGCACACTGAGTGTTGCACATACTGTGCTCTTGGTATGTTGTTTGTTAAAAAGGAGACATGCAAGATAAGTAGGGGACAAGCAGTCCTTGTGCAAGTGGCAGCCATAGGATGCTGAGAAGTAACTTAGGTGACTCTTGGTCACCTCAACGTCCTTTGTCTGTTACACTTTGTCTGTTATACCTTCCATCTGCATCCAAATTCTTTTCTTGATGTAAGGATTGGCAACCATTCTGCCACAGAGCCTTAGAGAGGTCATTTCTTCTGAAGGACAGATGTATGCTGTTTTTCCTCTTAAGTTGAGAGGAGGGCTGGGAGAGAATATTAGTTACCCTATACTTTCTTTGCCACAGATAGAACAGCAGGAGGGCAGAGACCGAGGTCATTATTCCAGATACTATCAACCACAAAGCAAGGATCCTATGGTCTCTATCCCCCATCTGTCATCTTGTTAATCTTACTTTCTCTGGTGTCTGTTTTTTTGTACTGTTCAGACACCACAGGATTACTCTTGAGGCTGTGATGAAGCAAGAGAGCTGGGGTGGCTGCTTCCTTTCCTAGTCAATCTAGAAGATGGTGGAGAGGAGTCCTCAGGACCCAGGTAGGTGCTAGAGGCCTTTGAGAGGAAATGATGGCCAGAAACAAGGCTTTGGGCCTGATTTATAAAAACCAAAGAAAAGATAGGAGTTTGCTAGGTTCTGAGATGATGTGAAAATACCTCAAACAGGCTTAGTCAAAAGCTTCCACTACCAAGTAGGCTTGTTGCCAGAATGTCATACCAAGAGACTTGAATACATCTCCTTTTGCCTTTATAAAATGATGGCAAGGCTATTGCCACTATTTTACATGTAAAGACACAGAAACTTAGGGACATTGAGCTACTTGAATCAATTGCAAGCTGGAACATGGTTTATATATATATATTTTCTACAGAATGTTCCAGAATTATTCCACTTCATTTTTTTTTTATTGGAAAAGTTGCCATCTTATCAGAGCTCCTCCATAACTATCAAATCTGAGTAAAAGGTGGCTGAGATATAATTCTCAAGATGACATCAACTGAGACCCTCCTACTTAGTCAATACCCTCACAGAGGTTCTAGGGTAGGACCTTACCGAGATGAATCAATAAAGCGAGTTTCAAGAGGTGGGACTCCTTGCCTTAGGCAGTGGGTGGGGTAAGTCAGGAGTCATAGTGGGCAGCAGATTTCTTCTGGTGATATTATCTGCCACGCTTGTTCATCCATCATTCCACTTTCTTCAGTTGCTCAAGTGTCACTGCGGCTTGCTAGTTTCCAAGCCTCTTTCCCAAGTATGCAAACAACAAAATCTTTCTCCTTGCTTTGACTTTAAAAGCAGGTTCACAGGGGGGTTCACACCCATTTGCCCTTCTTGAGCCCCATTCTCTAAGTGAGTCAATTAAGAGTTTGTGTTCTGACCCTGCTTCTAATTTCTAAAATACAGGATTCCTGAGGCCATGGCTCCTCCTTTATCCCCATTCACTAACATGAATTGCCATCCAGGTAGTAGAGGGTTAGGACCAGAAAGTAAAGTGCCAGGGAACAAAACAGACTTAGAGGATGAGGCAGGAAGGTATGATTAAGGCAGGGAGTACCTACCTGTCAGCATCAGCGGGAATAATGGAAACCCAAATAGCTCTTTCAAAAGGGGATACTGAAGTTGGTTAGCTCCATTTTGGCAGGGAGGATAATAATTCTGTGAAGGTACCCCCACTGGCAGGCTGGGGGCACATAGCAGTGGGGCAGAGCCTAGAAAGTCAGAGGACAACTGCACAGAGCTGAGACTCGGACTTTTCAGGAGGGGCCACCACTGAGCTCGGGCAGACGCCTCAGCAGCCAAGGGAAGAGGCCTGCAGAATGAGCTGTAATAAGGCTGTATAGGGCGAGACTTTTGAGGATACCAGTACAGTGGTCACTTCCGTGTTGCAGAACTATCGCCAGGATGATGTGAATGAGAATGACACTAAGAAGTTGTTGAATCCTTTACTTTCTACCTTGCAGTATCCTCTATGGATGGAGCTGAATCTAGAACCACTTGGCAAAAGCAAAATGTGATTTGCAGAGCCTGAGCCCCTGAACCACAGAAAGGGGTGAGAGACGATATCTTAAAAGTTGGTTTATAGGGTGAATAATTAAGTACAGTTGCCCATGTCAATAAATCATTAAATAGAGCTTCAAACCTAGGACTTGAAGAATATCACTCCAGACGGTCTTTAGTGAAGTGTTTCTCAATTCTGCATCTCTGTGGTACTTTTACTGTTATACTGATGATGGTGGTGATGGTGGTGGTGTGTGTTCACACCTATGTGTGTTCACTTTAGTGTGTGTGTTTAAGGATTAGGATGAGGACCCTTCTTACATGTGTAGGCGTCTATTCCACCATGTTGGGAATAAACACTATAGCTTTCCTCTGAGTTGTTAATGAGACTCCAAAATAAATGTTTTCCTTCAGATTGCACCTTGTAATTTATGATTCAGTCTCAGAAAGGAAACTAGTGGATTTGGGAAAAGGGGAAAGAAGAGCGTGTGCTCAAAGGAACCTACCCCAGGCAGAAGTTGGAAGAGGCTAGAATAAGAACAAACGTAATTGCCAGTAAGCCTGGTGAAGCTTCACGTCTCCAAGCCTTAGAGGCAAGCTAATGGCTTACTTATTTTTTTTCTCTCTCTGCTGCTTACACAGTTCCAGGAAGGCAGGCTGCTTTCAGCCCAGAAACTTAGTAACTATACTTTACATAATACCTGGGAACATCAGAGACTGTGTGTGTGTGTGTGGGGGGGTGGTGATGATGGGACCATTTGCAGATTGAAGTTAGTGCCTGGAAATTGTTCATCATCTGCTCAGCATGTAGAGCTGCTAGGAGCTAAATGGATGGTGATTGTTCAGGAGAGTTAAATGGGAGCCAAGTCAACACCATGTGAAAAGCCTCATGATTATTGAAAGAATTAGAAGCACGTTATAACCGCACGTCTCTTGCCTGGGTCCCTTAAGCATGGGGTTAAATTGGTACTCCCAGGAACAAAATGTGAAACTGCAAGCTCACTGTTTGTGCCCTCTCAGAAGCACCGGAACAGGTAAACTCTATCACAAGTACTGGAACAGGTAAATTCCAGTCTCAGAAGCAGCCTTATCTGTTGACAGTACAGTCGTCTGACACACCAAGTATCCATGACGAGGAGACACTACAGTGGCCTAAAACATTTCCAAGGGCTTGGCTGTTGATCTCATTTTCTGCAGCACTACGGGGTTAATATTGTCTCTGAATAATTATGCCCATTTATCAGATAGGTAATATGGTTTGGGCACTGGTATTCAGTGAAGCTCTATTTTAACCCATTTTCTACTATTTATTGTGTAGATGATGTTGAATAATTATGTGAACCTCAGTTTCTTAGTCTTTAAGTTGAGACTAATTGTACTCCTTGCTATTGTTAATATTTTTTTTCCTTTGAGCATTTTCTATCCATGCTACTTTCCAGCACCAAGGCTGAAAAAAAAGAGAGGATTAAATTTTTAAAATCAAAGAGTTTACAACTTATAGAACAAAGATATTTAGAAACTCATGCTTTCAGAGGTAGTTCACTCTTGACCACTGCCTGGAGGGCCAGGAGTGGGAGGTGGTTTAGCTCAGAGTCTTTGGATAGGACCAATCATAGCTGGCAAAACCAAAACCAGTCAAACAAACAAACAACCAATAACCAACCAACCAACCAATCAACCAACCAGTTAATTAAAGATTCCTAATGACATTCTGCAATACCTGTAGACAGGAGCCCAGCATTATTATAATCAGAGAGGCTTTTTCTAGCAACTGATGGAAGCAGATGCAGAGACCCACAGCCAAACATTAGGTAGAGCTCAGGGAATCCTAAGGAAGAGGAGGAGAAAAGATCCAGTTTGGTTGAGGATCCCACAAGAAAACCCACAGAGTCAACTAACCTGGGCAAACAGGGACCCACAGAGACTGAACTGACAATCAGGGTGCCTGCATGTCTGACCTAGGCCCCCTGTTTATATGTTATGGTTATGTAGCTTTTCTTCTTGTGGGATTGTTAACAATGGGAGGAAGGGCTATCTCTGACTCTTTTACGTGCTTTTGGGAGCCCTTTCCTCCAACTGGATTGCCTTGTACAGCATGATGATGAAGGGAGAGCTTATCTTATGGAAACTTGATATGCCATGTTTGGTTGATATCTCTGGGAAGCCTGCCCTTTTCTAACAGGAAAGGGGGAGGATTAGAAGGGGAGGGAAATGGGAAGGCCTTATCCCTAACTCTAACCCTAATCTAGGGGTG